GAAATGAACCTGTAGCTTGATTATATATGCATCATACATATTTATTATGTTCATATACATATCATCTTCGGACAAATGGCAGTATATTGTCAAAAAATGTAAAATTAATAAAAACATCCTACTTTCGGTTTTGCAGCGGCACGGGCTGTAATATTTACATAAAAAGTAAGAAATATTACATACATACTTTGTTGGAATAAGTGAACTTTTTATTTGGAAATTATAAAATGATACTCGTTCCGTAAGTAATAAAACATTTTTACTGTTATTTTGCCTGTTTTCATTTCAATGAACCTCTTTTTTTAATTCTATGTCGTAGTGACGATATACATGTGCTTGTACGGAAAAAAAAACAGGATGCATAAATATTGATTAGTAGGAGTAAACTTCAAGATCTCTGCACATGCGTACATTTCACTTTAGCGCTCTTCGAAACTTAGCTCCGCCCACTTGCGTTTTATAATATAAAACGTCCAGTTTATATAAAATCTGTTCTATTAAGCTTTGAAACCTGAAAATTTGAAAAATCCTCGTCGGTGATTGGCTTAAAAAAATTGGCGAGCACTAATTAAGAATAATATTTAAAATGTCAAAAGTATTTTCATAGGTGAAATAAAGCTCTCTCTCGCTTCCATGTATGAATTTTTGTACACTGTTTCTGCTTATAGAAAAATTATAATAAGAATTAATGATGATATATCAGTCTTTATTTAAACTTACATTACAAAAACGATACTTCTCGAAATTCGGAGAGAAAATTTTTTTTCTCACACTTCTTTTTAATTTAATATTTTGATGCTATGATACGAACACAAATGAGCAGATGAAATTACCGCTTGGTGTGTATCTCTTGTATCTGTAGTACGTGTTGTTGTCCATATATCCATTCCTAGCTTATATAGATAAATCTTATATCTGTAGTATGTGTTGTTGTCCATATATCCATATATCCATTCCTAGCTTATATAGATAAATCTTGTATCTGTAGTACGTGTTGTTGTCCTAGCTTAGATAGACAAACCTTGTTTCTGTAGTACGTGTTGTTGTCCATATATCCATTCCTAGCTTATATAGATAAATCTTATATCTGTAGTACGTGTTGTTGTCCATATATCCATTCCTAGCTTATATAGATAAATCTTGTATCTGTAGTACGTGTTGTTGTTCATATATCCATTCCTAGCTTATATAGATAAATCTTGTATCTGTAGTACGTGTTGTTGTCCTAGCTTAGATAGACAAACCTTGTTTCTGTAGTACGTGTTGTTGTCCATATATCCATTCCTAGCTTATATAGATAAATTTTATATCTGTAGTACGTGTTGTTGTCCTAGCTTAGATAGATAAATATTGTATCTGTAGTACGTGTTGTTGTCCATATATCCATTCCTAGCTTATATAGATAAATCTTGTATCTGTAGTACGTGTTGTTGTCCTAGCTTAGATAGACAAACCTTGTTTCTGTAGTACGTGTTGTTGTCCATATATCCATTCCTAGCTTATATAGATAAATCTTGTATCTGTAGTACGTGTTGTTGTCTTAGCTTAGATAGACAAACCTTGTTTCTGTAGTACGTGTTGTTGTCCATATATCCATTCCTAGCTTATATAGATAAATCTTGTATCTGTAGTACGTGTTGTTGTCCATATATCCATTCCTAGCTTATATAGATAAATCTTGTATCTGTAGTACGTGTTGTTGTCCATATATCCATTCCTAGCTTATATAGATAAATCTTGTATCTGTAGTACGTGTTGTTGTCGTAGCTTAGATAGACAAACTGTTTCTGTAGTACGTGTTGTTGTCCATATATCCATTCCTAGCTTATATAGATAAATCTTGTATCTGTAGTATGTGTTGTTGTCCTAGCTTAGATAGACAAACTGTTTTTGTAGTACGTGTTGTTGTCCATATATCCATTCCTAGCTTAGATAGATAAACCTTGTATCTGTAGTACGTGTTGTTGTCCTAGCTTAGATAGACCAACCTTGTTTCTGTAGTACGTGTTGTTGTCCATATATCCATTCCTAGCTTAGATAGATAAACCTTGTATCTGTAGTACGTGTTGTTGTCCTAGCTTAGATAGATAAACCTTGTTTCTGTAGTACGTGTTGTTGTCCATATATCCATTTCTAGCTTAGATAGATAAATTTCAAAACAGATATACAGGGCGTATAAAAATCTCATAATATATACGTATGGTTGTACTTTAATGTACTGTATCAACGGAAACAAATGACGCTTAAATGCCTCACATTCAAGGGTTGCTCCTACTATTTTCGTGAAAACAATCCCGCTTGATGTTCGTTTTAGATAAGTCTCAAATTACATATGTTTTATACCTTAATGTCTAACAAATCAATTATAAAGCGATGGAATGATTATTGCCTTAGTCTGCAGATGAAATAAAATATTTCCTAGGAAGTTTGTAGGTGTAAGATAATATTCGTGACATGTTTATTTCGAATCAAATACAATAGATGTCTTGAATTTGTCTTGCGTGAGATGATTTTATATTTCCAAGCAAGGGACAAAATAGCTGTTATCGCCTACAAAAATGTATTTTATTTATCAATATAAGGTATAAATTGTTCCACGCGACTTTTCGTGTAATTGACAAAATGTCAAACTGAAAAGTACAATAATATCAACGTACACTTTTAAATATATTTAAGGATGTTACTTAAGTCTTAATTTTAAAATTATCATTTGTAAATGTTTTAAATTTTATGATAAGCCAGTAGCCTATGTCAATGACAGAGCTCTATCAAATCAGGCCTTTAAAGTTTTTTTTTTCAAAATGAGTTCGATTTTTTACAACCTTCATTCTTTTTATTTATTACTAGTTAACACATTTGTACTATTATAAAGAATTCTGCAAAAAATCGTGTCTCGAACAGTTTGTTGAAATAAGAAGATAAAAATGCATTTTAAATGGACATTTATTATGATTTTTATCATTTAAACTAGCTTATTATAAGAGCAGGTTGATTTTGTTTCAAATAACAAAAGTGTTTATTATAGTTACAAAATCATAACTGATCTCTTCCCACTGTCATTTTCATGGTTTAAAGCAAGCCATATTTGAATTATTGACTGTAGAGAAACAACGCTCTGTCAATTTGTTAGCGTGGCAATGTCGCATGGCAACGAACAGTGAGTATAAATATCTTGATAAAGGAGTATTTCGCCAGAAAAGTGATTTTTCAAATATGCTGTAGTGATTTTTAATTTTTTGGACATAAACATGGTTTTCCTTTAGAAAAAACTTAACTTGATCAATGGTGAGTCTAATTTTGTTTCAAATTTGTTGTTCAAAGTGTTTAAAAATCTGATTTTTTTAAATGTACAATTTACTAATTATTACTTCGTGTAAATGTATCAAGTGAATACTGTAATAAGTGAAGCATGAGATTTGAAAATAGGACGAATGTTATTTCAAAGATTTCTTCTTATTTTAACCAGAAAAAAAACGACATATACATATTTTTTTTAAACATTTAAACATATGGAAATAAATATTCTCAAAGACAACGAACTGTGTAAACATTGATTTTTATATATAACGGCACTTTGAGCATAATAACATGATTTTTGTTTATGCATTGACTGAAGTTTTAATCAATGTAATGTTATACTGAAAACAAATCCATCGTGATATTTTACTTCATTATAAAGTTATATTTTCCGACACTTAAAATGTACACTAGTCACTCCGTCTGACAATATAGATAATCTCTCATACACTTATAGTCATATTGCATATTGATTGTCAAAAGAAAATCAAATTTATGATTCACAAGGAACATGGATTTGAAAAGTATATAGTGTATATTTACAACAATAGAATGGTTTGTATATGTTTACATTTTAGAATTCAATAGGGTCTTTTTCAAACGTTTCTATTCTCAAATTTATTTGAATATGAAAAATAACTTGCAATTAAAGGATTGTTTGAAATTGATTATCTTAACTTAAAGTCATAAAAACGAGAGACAACTATTATTATGCATAAATCAAAATCAAAATCAATGATTACCTAAGATATGGCGCATTAAGAATGACCTGTGCACATAAGTTTTTGAATTTATTGACCTTATTAAGTAGAATGAAAGATATTAATGACTACGACATTTGATGTTTGCCTTTATATGAAAAGAATTGGATTCCTTTCGAAACGGTACTCTCTTCAGAACATTATAAAAATATGCTTTCCACTTCGGATATTCCTAAAATATTTTCAACTCTCTTAGCAAATAATAACTAAGCTACCAATATGAATTCCGTGTATGTCAGGTTTCAAATATCTCCTTGAAAGAAAAATGATCAATAAAACATATCTAATTGGATCTGCAGCGATATATTTATGACATATAAAGTTCATTATTTGTGAAGACAAATTTCAGTATCTTAAACATTTGCTTTGGCAAACATTTTCCATGATTATTTATTACTTAATTTAATACGAATTACTTTGATTGATAGTAGGCTTTGAGGTATATAAAACACACATTTGGTGAACCATGAACTTTTTTCTCGTAATTGTTTATATTTTTGATATTAAACAAACTAAATACTCACCGTTTTAAAAGTGCTCGTAGCACTCCTACAAAAGTAAATAATTCACATCAATTGTAACACGAACAAACAACATGACTATATTATAATGAAATTATATGAATAAAATCATTGTAAGTTACGAACGAAGTACGTTTTTATGAAACTGATAAATGTCCATTATTGGTAAATTACTTGAAAGTCCCTACCAATATGTATCATTCTCTTATACAAATATGATCATACACATTTTGTTCGTTGTTGTTTGCACTTAAACAATTACATAATGATTTTACATAATGAGTTTTGCACTAAAACAATGAATTAGGTAATGATTTTATTTTACATAATGATTTTTGAACTTAAACAAATACTTACATTATTATTGTACATTTGGCTTTGTAAAAGTATTTTTCGTCTTCTTGTAGAATGCTGTAAAATGGAGTTAAATGACTCTCAAGCACTAAGCCTAAGCCAAATGAACCTGCAAGGTAATTATGATGTGAGAGTACGCTCAATGGAGTCTCAAGTCCTCCAAATCAAAGATACCGAAAATATCCCGATACGGTTTGACAACAACGAAACTAATTTCACAATCACCATAACGAACCCTGGTCCATGTGGCGAGAAATCTATGAGTTTGATAAACGCGTCAAATTGTAGAGGAATATTTAAGGAGTTTCAATCTTCTCACTGGTTTTCTCCAACCCAAGAAGCCTTACTGATTGCATTTTATTGTATGGCTATTATTGTTGGTATCCTTGGCAATGCGATCGTTGTGTATATTGTGCTCAAATTCAAGCACCTTCATGTTCCTAGAAATTTTTTGATATTGAATCTCTCGCTCTGTGGCATCATTATGTGTCTGGCATGTATGCCATTTTCTTTAATTCGACTCACATTAAAAAACTGGGAACTTGGTGACTTTTTATGTCGTTTGAGTCCAACGTTACAAACTATTGACGTATTTGTTTCTACTTTTACAATTGTTGCCATAGCTGTTGACAGGTACTCGGCTATAGTCTGTGCCTCAAGAGAAGCCAGTAATAGGAAATTGGTGTATTACTCTATAAGTCTCATTTGGCTATCTTCGATCATTCTGTGTGTACCGATGATGATGTTTCACGAAGTACAAGAGGTGTATCCAGAAGGAATAAATGTTCAGCTTTATAAAATCTGTATGGAAGTTTGGCCATTCGATTGGATGAGAAAATCTTATACAACATGCGTGCTGCTGATACAATATGCAGCTCCCCTCGCAATTATTTCAGTATTGCATGGTAAAATTTGTCAGTTCCTACAGGTAAGGATTAAAAACAATCCTAGGACTGACCTAGAAATGGCTAGAGTATTGCGGGATATAAAGCGACAAAGAAAAAATATGCTTCTTCTGACGGGGATAGCCGTATCATTTGCCGTCGCATGGCTTCCACTTACTGTTCTTAACACCCTTGCCGACTACGACTTCCGGCTGTTTCTAAATAGAAATTTTAATCATGCCTACGCATACTGCCTTCTTGCTGCGATGTGCTCTGCTTGCTTGAATCCAATCATCTATGGCTGGTTCAATTCAAATTTTCGGAAAGCCTTCTTACTAGTTCTGTGCTCAATAAGACATTCTGTAACGGATTTCACGGAAATGGCCACAATAAAAAACGATTCCAAAGGAAACAGCCATCAGCCGTATCGGTTTTACAGCAGTCTACGTTTAGATTCAGCAGATCATGTAGCAACGTGTCGATCAATATCAAGTAGATCGGCTTCTAAATCTAGCAGCCAGCATAGTATAGCAAGTAGCAAATCCGGCATCTCCAGAAATCAAGCATGTCACTCACCCGCTTTGGAAACTATACAGTCTCAAGCAAGTGAATAAAGTTCATATTATACAACAAACACGCACATGTTGACAAATAATTTATCTATATCATGAAAAATATTTGCTTTGAACATTTCTTTATGTAACAACAGAATAGATTATAACAAAGTTCGTCGGAAAAAGTGTGTGGTGAACAGTAGCGTTTATATATTAAACATATTATTGATAGCACAATGTCATATTAAAACAGATTCACCGAAGATTGATCAATGGAATTCTGTGAAAATCTATGATGTTTTGTTTAGACAACCACTAAAACCGGTATAAAGGTCATAACAATGTTAACGCAAGACGTGCTTCATAGTAGAGATTAAGTAAATATATTTATAGATTGTTTATATATGTATTTACATATGTATGTTGATATCTTGTTTCTCACTAACTTTTGAGAGCGTATGAGGTAAGTTAAAGAAATTAATAAAGAAAATAACATTTGTGAATTGTTACCCATTTATTGTATCTAATTCCGTCTGGAATCAAGACGGAAGCTTTTTATATGGCATTGAATATTCTTCAGTTAGAAGAATTACGGTGTAAATCAAAAATGTTTCCTTCTTACCTGTCTTTTATATGATTGAAGATAGAGGAGTCATTTAAATTGATATACCTATTGCACAGGAGGCAATGAAATGTTTATCTTTCTTTATTACTATGCCTGCATGATTGTTTGTTTCTGCTAAAGGTTAACGTTACTTTAAAATGTTAGAATATTTATTAATTCATGATTGTTTTTATTTAGTTTACTTATTGCTTTATGTATAGCATTGAAAGATTGAGTGTTAAAAATATTTTCAAATTTTTATTTATTACCTATTGTATAAGCAAATTATGTGTACAAGAAGATTATTCTGCTGTATGTTATTTGACTCTAGAAAAATAATTATTAGTTTATTGTTTTATAGATAATAAATGCTTTGTTGTTCAAACTCTGATATTACTTCATTCGCAAATTGGATTGATATAGGTAAAGTGGGAATTACTTCATTCGCAAAGTGGATCGATATAAGAATAGCTGATATAATTTTTATATCTAATTTTTATATATTTTTTTTATAGTTATAACATTAAAGAATAAATAAAGATATTTTTATTCGAAAGATAAAGTTTCAATCATAAACACAAACATAATATCAACAATGAAGTGTCAGAAAGCGAGACACAAGCATTTTATTGGAACATTACCAACATAGTGTTATTACATTCAAAGCAGCGTGTCGCTGTCAATTTAAACATTCAAGGGGAACACAAACTATAAACATTAAAAACAACAGGGAAAATATCATGAAACGGCAGTATTCTCCTTTATGTCTCCACCTTTAATATTATCTATGATTACTAAAGTCACATGAAATATCGTCATAACCAAGAACTCAATTATGTTTTTATCCTGAAATATACTGGAGAGTTACAGCTAATTTTGATGTCTTAATTATCTTTCTACAAAACCATCAAAATGTGGAGGAATATACATTCATCATTTTATAACATACTAATACAAATATTTTAATAAATGATATACACATTACATACTACCTTGCCTTGATAAAATCAAATCACATTTTAACAAGCATGTTTGTAGGCTGAAGGATAAAAGACTCACAGAACGTATACGAACATGCTAATTCGTACATATCAATCTAACCAAATGTACTACAAACCTAAGAAAACGTTCTAAAGATAAAATAATGCACGTAGATCATCTCGTTACAACTGATTATAATCAATACACTTCAAATAAAACTCTTACTAACCAACAATGACAGTTTTGCGTTAGGACAAAAGTACTCATATTTACGATTTACGATGCCATATTTCTGGTTTTTTTTTGTTTGAAATGTAGGATCGTTAGGTAAATTTCATTAATCATTTACATGATGAATTTTGTTTCATATTTTATATTGTTCGATGCCTCATTAGGAGGGTAATGCCAAATCATTTACAATTCAGGTCACGTTTTCTCATAAAATCAACTGTTTGATTAACAGAAACTAAATGTGTAAAGGTTTAACCCATGAAGCTGTGATGTACATGACAAACAAAATTGTTAGACATAGGAAAATACATGTACACATATTAATATGCCAGAAATAAGTATTGTGAAACTTTCGTATACCTCATATTGTGAAGAACTCGTAGTCCAGACGAACATTCAGTCATATATTATATATATATTATATATATATATATATATATATATATATATATATATATATATATATATATATATATATATATATATATATATATATATATATATCCCCATATAGCTATTTCCAGAAGGAAAATGCCAAAAAGAGGTTTAATTTGTTTAAATAATTCATTTTAGATGTTCTTGCGGATAATGTCATTTTATGTTAATGTTTTATTATAGATAAAAGATATGTGTTTTGACAAGACATGTTGTTCATTAATTTTTCCCCAAAAACACTTCCTTGCCCACAAGTTTAAAAAAAACTTTTTATTCAATTTTGAAAGTGTTTATGCAACCTCATTTGTTTATTGAAATGCGTACATGTTGAAGATTAATTAATGTTCTTCAAAGTCAAAAACAATATCTATATCAGTTATATAAATTTAAGATGTCATCATATAATACTTCAAAGACTGAAACCTATAACAATGGAATATTGTATATCAGACGAACAGTTGAGTTTTAGTGCACATTTGTTTATGGTCATTTTGAAATTTTACGAAGAACAGATCAAAATACAAATAGTGACAGTAATCTTATTTTGATTGATTTCATGAGCCATTCATACAAATCACATATATAAAGCTGCGGTCTCACTTACTCCCACCAGAGCCCAGGACCATCCCGGTATCTTACCGGGACGATCCGGGGTGAACTTATTGTTGCGGTCACACTTAACCCGACAGCACTACGGTAGTTCCCAACTAACCACCCAGGATGCGCTCCGGTTCATCCAGGCAGAGCCCAGGTGAAGCTACGGTTCATGCCGGTGCTTCCCCGGTCGTTCCCGGATGACGCCGGAAGAGCCCCGGTTGACCAAGGCAGATCCCCGGTCGATCCAGGCAGAGCCCCGGCAGAGCCAAGGACGATCCAGGCAGAGCCCCGGTAGAGCCCCGGTGGATTGAAAACGCCCGAAAATGATAACATTAATACATCATTTTTATTTAATATAATATCTATTGTTCCAGAATAGTAATTCATGATGATTTTCTGAAAAATCCTTATGATGTACTGGATAGAAGGAAAATGGGAAGGGTTTTAGTACAAACAAGTGCAATCATCGCAAATTGTCGTTATACTTTTGAAATGATCCGGGCTTTGCCGGGGCTCTACCGGGATCAACCGTAGCTCTACCTGTATCCTCCGGGGCTCTGCCTGTAGTTACCGGAGCTCTGCCGGCATATACCGGGGCTCTACCGTAGCTCTACCGGCTATATAGTACCCCGGATCATCCCCGGTTTGTGCCAGCAGAGCTACGGTGCTTCCCCGGTATAACCCCGGTCGTTCCCGGCAGAGCTAAGGATGAAGCCGGCAAAGCCATACCTTCCCGGATCATCCCGGAACACCCCGGTGATATTAAATATTTTATTCCATTCGGGTTCGATGTTCCCGGATCATCCCGGAAGTTGCCGGCAGAGTTACGGATGTACTCCGGTTGTTCCCGATCGTACCCCGGTCGTTCCCGGATCAACCCGGGCGTCTACCGGGGTTAAGCCGGGGCTCTGTCGGGATGTAAGTGAGACTGTACCTTAAGATGTGGCGTGTTTTAGGACTTAATTTCCAAAATTGAATTATCATAGAAAAGTAACACGTTTTTTTCTTCAATATTTTACTTTTTCTTAATAAGAAGGTTTCAAGCGTGTGTACTATGGTGAATCACATAGACATGTTATTTAGTGATAATAACATCAACTTTAAAACATATGTAGAGGTGATCAAAAATACACATAATAGACACGCATGAGCGGAACAAATATACATTTATAACCATTTTTGAATATTGATTAATATATCATTTTTACTTAATGTGTCCGTGACATCTGATCCGATGCGGCATTCTGAGAAATATTACATCTCTATTAAGTAAAATAAATCTCTGGTTTCTTAACCTATCTGCGTCTCATAGAAAATGTAATGATTTGTATGATATAATTATCTACTCTTCTGATTATATGTTACAGATGAAATTATGTAAAGAAAAATGGCATTAGCAGTGAGATGTGGACATAATATCTTAAACCATAATAATGACAATAAGTCTCAGTGTCTGTCAGTGTATTTCAAATAATGAACGATAAATCAAACATATGCATTTTGATAAACTATTTATATTAGTCTTATATCTGTTAATTGTTTAAAGCGACCAGAAGGTAAAATAAAAAAATGAAATAAAATTTATAATAGCAAAGTTTAAGACCTTGAAGTTTCTGAGAAGAGTTTATCTCTTAAGAAATTTAACATTTATTTTGAATCTAGCGTCGAAGGTGCTAGAAATATTTTTTTTAAAAGGTTTTCTTTGAACAATTAAAGAGAGAACCGGTCGAACGTAAGTAAATAATTTTAAGAAAAAGTAAAATTTTGCACAGTTTATTTTCTAATTACCTTTCCTCAGTTAAGGTATATTTATTCTTTTTTAAATTATCATCTTAGAGTATTAAGTTTTAAATCAAGATCAAGATCTTGCTGAGTATGATGAATTCTTTCAATGTGACAGCTATTTTTGAATCCATCTTAAATGTTTAATTTTTACCCAGTTGTAGCAATTTAAAACAACCTTAATTATTGTTCAGTCTACAACATTCAACATTGAAAGGACTATATAATTAATTGATTCAGAAACGTTATCTCCCTTTAATAATATAACAAGAAATAGTGATTCCAGATTTTAATTGGTCCTCAACAGATCCTATCTTATAATTTTATTTAGATGGAAATATGTGTGACAATTATCGGCACACAACGCTAGTTCATGGGTTAGGCTTAAATAATATGTTATCTACACACAATACACATCAAACATATTAAAACTTTAAGGCAACTTTCATATGAGAGAAATAATTAAAAAAAGCATTATTAAAATAAATTGCAAGTTGCAACCTTTTGATATTACAAATTCAAATAATAAATCGTCTGCTTTTGTGAACCGGACTACTTCCTTCCTTACTTTAAATATTGGTAGATAGCAGTCTGGAGATTATGCACATCCTCTTCTTTTTTTCCTATGTTGAAAATTCTGGTTGCTATTCAGCAAGACTGAATTTCAAGATTTCTGATTCCAGTTTTTACGCTTTTTTCACTAGTTCTTTATTTCTTAAGGTATTTTCATCAAACTTTAAATATAAGTTTCTAGTCATCAACCACATCATATGTGACAAGGTGTACAACTATAGCACAAAATTTATCAGAATTTCCTCCCTTGAACTTAGAATTTTCATGACAATAATACTGTTTTTAATAACTTCTTTATTTCTGATTGTATCTACTTTAAACTTCATATAATTATATGCTCAACATTTGTGAGAAAGTTCAAAACTCTGGCAAGACTATTTCCAGAATTATGCCCTTTTGAACTTTTTATGAGAAATTGGTAATTTTTACTCCAACTTCTTCAATCAATAAAGGATTTTCTTCAAACTCCCACATCATAATAATATGACAAGGTTTATAAATCTAGCATCCATATTTCCAGAATTATCTCCTCCTTAAACTTTGAATTTTTCTTATTCATTCTTTTAACTTTCTTTTACTTCAAATTCAAAATAAACATTCTTTATCAACACCTTCATTACTAATTGTTCTTTGTTACACTCACAACATGTATGACGTCTTGCATCTTTATTTCAAGAGTTATCCCCTTTTTAAGAATTTTGCTTTTAAAAATGTTATATTTTGATAACAGGGATGTTTAAAAATATAACTTTAGAGTGTCCTTCAGTCCGTCTGTCTGTCTGTACATAAAAACTGTTTCCTGTGATCACTTTTAAAGAACTTTTTTAACAAATTTACTTAAAATAGAAACATAAGTGAATGGCCAATGGCCCTTCAGAATGTTGCTGGGGTCCTAACCGGTAGGGGACTTATGGATCGCTTGCATACTATGATAATTGCTTGTTGATTTATATAAATGATATATCTATACTCCGTTATGATATAGACTTACAAGTATGCGGATGACTCTACACTTTACCAATCCGGTGACTGTTTACTGAAAATACAAGCTAATTTACAAAAATATTCAAATTATATTGGTGTATCCTGAATAATATGTCTTTGCACCCAATAAAAACAAAATGCATGATAATTGGTTCTTCAAAAAAGGTAAAAAAAAGTACTCCTCTCCTACTGAAAGTAAATGATACAACTCTTGAAAATGTTACAGTTCAAAAGTTATTGGGCATTTATGTAGACAATACATTAAACTGGCATATTCAAATAGACTCTGTTCGCAAAAAACTAAATACAAAAATTGCCCTCTTCAAACATATGATTTTTTACCTTACTGACGAAGTAAGAAAGATATATTACAACGCATACATCCTTCCTGTGCTTGATTATTGTTGTACGGTATGGGGAAAGGATCAATATTATAATAGTAAACTCATTTTAAAAAAAAGCTGCAAAATTTATACGTAATAGACAGATACGTTCACCAACATTAGATCTTTTTAATAAACTTAAATGGCTAAAATTCAATTTCAGAGTAAAATACCACACAGCAATTATGGTGTATAAAACTTTAAACAATTTGGCACCGTTATATATGAGTGAAATTTTTTAGTTTCTCTCACAATGAATTACATAATTTACGCTCAATCGCTCATAAAGATCTTGTTCTGAAAAGTATACCTCATACAGATTATTTAAAGGATTCTTTTTCTTTTTTCAGTATTGACGTTTTGAATAAATTACCTATTACTATCAAACAATGTTCGACTTTACAATCTTTCAAAAACAACTGTTGAATTTATTTTCTAAGTTACAGTTAGATACATGATGAAAATTGATCACTTTATATTTTAATTGTTGTAAATGTTGATATCATCATTTTTTAATCATTACGAGTTTATCTACAATTACTATAATTAATATGAGTATCAGTCGGATGAATGAATAAAAAAATATCCTTTTCATCCATTTTGTGTACTGATTGACCTAA